CGGTCAACAGGGCGCACCTCGCGGAGTCGTGTCCACGTGGCCGCTGTGCACACTGTCTCGGAATTCAATCCCGAATTTCCTGCTTATTATTCTAGAAACCCAGTCTCCCTTCGCAAAGATCGAGGCCGGCTGGGGCCACCTCCTCTCTGAAGGGCGAGAGGATCTCCAGGCGTGCGGCGGCCGCATGTGGAGTGAACTGAGTGGGGGCCGAGCAGGGGGCAGTGCAGTGCGAGAGGGTCACGGGGAGCCCTGGAGCCCAGAGAACCGAGGACACGTGTTTGAAGCAACCAGTGAGGCGCCGGCTGTTTGCCGCGGTGCAGGCCTCTGGCGGGGACAGCCAATCGTTTCAGCAAGAACTGGCATCAGCCTCAGATTGACCTCTCCAGGAGCTGCTCTACACCGGTTTTGCAGCTTTGCCAGTAAGGCCCTGCCACTTTCCTATAGACCGTCCCAGCCTGTCAAACTCCTCTGAATTCTTTAACATTTGATTATCTTAAAAGTTTCCTTATTTTTTAATAGCTTTCTTGACTGTGCTGACTTCAACATTCCCCGATTTTCTGCTCCTCAATTAGAAAAACGTGTGCCACGGGCACATTTAACAGACATGGAGACGGAGCCACCACCATAGGCGCTGCTGACTTGGCTTTTTTTGGGGGGGGAGGTGTTGGGTCTCATCTCACCAAGCCCGGAAGTGGCTTGGACTGCACCACAGGCAGATTCCCGGTCTTTGCCCACCTGCTTGGTATATTGTAAAACTCAGTGACAAGTTGAGCTGGAATCCACTCAGAGCGCATCTTTCATTACTTGTGAGGCTGTGAATTGCATTGGGGATTGCCACCTTCCTCCTTGGGAGCCTCCAGTGGATTTTAAGGGGGCCCTTGGGTTAGCTGTGCAACTCCCTAAGGACTGGGCTCCCAGGGACCCCTTTTTCTTGGTAGGAATCCCGGTATCAGGACAGCTTACTTTTGTTAGAGGCTGTGTTTGGGACAGTCCATGAGAGTCAGATGCTGGACCATTCTGGATGCCTCTGAAGAGCAACACTGCATTTATTGTCATATTTTCAGCCTGAATTTGGGTAATTGTCCCAGCTAACGGTCACTGTCAATTCAGGGCAGTCTCTCAGAAGTCTTCCTAGTTAGTTTCCATGTGCGCCTGGTGTGCCCTGCAGGCCTCCTACCACCACCAATGGAACAGCACTCATTACCCGGAGCTTGAGGCTCTCCTGGCAGCATCCAGCCAGTCCAGGGAGGACTGCAGCACAGCCTGGCCAGTCAGCGCACACTCATCTCCCGAGCCCGGCACATCTTGATTTGGAAACCACAGTAAAGTGACCAAGCAGCTCCCCTGAAGTGGCAGCTGAGCTGAGCAGGCCAGGTCGTGACCACTGGCTGCTCCGAGGGCCATGAAGGCGCTGGAGAGCCCCCCACCCTCTCAGGCCCGGAGCAGGTCATCTGTCCACAGTGGGCATGGACCCTGATAGTCACCCAGGAGACTGCAGAAAATGAGAGCTCTTGTGTTTCTTCATTCATCACACCCTGAGCACGCACCTATCTGCTGCTATTGTTGTATACCTTTGAGTTGGAGGCAATTCCGCTGACCAGTGAGTTTTCAGAGGCAGCAACTGAACAGGAGATTGTCCATCTCTTTCCCCATAGAGCACCTAATGGGCTTGAACCTCATGCTGCTGAGCTGGCAGCACAACTCCTTACCACCGAGCCAGCAGAGGCCTGCTATGAAGAATGAATGCTGGTGTCTGGAAGTCATTTACAATGTAGTAGGTGACACATGAGGAGCATGGACACCACACGGTAGGAGCAGCAGCAGACAGATGCTGAAGGCTGCACTGTAGCAAAGGCGGGTATGGGGTGGGGGTAAGGGCCAGGGGAACAGAAGCAGATGGTGTAGGGCCTTGGTTTCCACTGAGGCTGTCACAGGCGACAGGGAGAGGAGTCTTTTCAGTACACTGGAGGCCAGATGACAGAGTATGGGGATGTTTTAGAGACTAAATGGGAGAGGAATCTCCAGAATCCAGGTCAGAGAAGAGCAGGGCACTGGGAGGAGGCAGGAGGTGCAGATTTTAAAGGATGTGACAGAGGAAGTCTGGAAAGGCTTGGAGCTCTCACTTCCGTGACTGGCAGCTGATGCCCGAGGCGCCTGCACAGTGGGGTCTGGAGCCACGGCTTGCTCACCGGAGACACACTTTCCAGTGACTATAGCTCTTCAGTGGTGGGCACGGAAAAAACCGATGCCACACACAAAAAAAGCAATTCAGCAGTGTGTGGATAGTAAGATAGAAACAAGGGTGTGTTCCTGGGTACAGCAACACGTAGAGAGGCTGGGGAGGGGGAGCAGAGCCCCCAGAACAGGCAGGGTGCAGTCTGGGGCTCGGGCAGGAAGTGACGAGGGTCAGACATAGCAAAGACATAAGATGGGTAAACAGCCCACCAACCCCAGCTATCAGGAGCATGGCACCATTTCCCAAGTCACACGTCATGCTGCCAGAGCTGGCCACCTCCTGAGGCACTTCCAGTGAAAAGGGTTATTTGTGTTCCAAGGCTCCCGATTTCCTGAACATTCCTTCCCTTGTCACAAACCGGGGAGAAGACACACCTCCACTGCCTATACTGCAGGCTGCCAGACAGGCTATGGGATGTCGATGTGAATTCGGTCTCTTGTTCCATCTCGGATGGAACAAATCTTGCCTCATCCTGCCATCAGAGATCTGTGAGCATCATGGCAGATCCACAAATGTCACAGCAGAGCCATGTGACTAGGAGCAGCCTCACCCCTTCTGCATCTATGTAGCCCTTGTGCAAAGTGAGGGGCAATGGGTTGAAAACACTCTTGTAGGAGACACTAGAACCCTCTCACTGGGAAGAATAGCACTTCACAGTGGAGGAAAGCAATCCAGTGGGAAAAGGCCACATAGAACCCCCAGATACTCGACAGTGGCTACATGCAGGGCACATGGTGCTGGGCAGTCTTCCGAAGCCTCGTAAGGCAGGCACAACCACTCCACCCTCTGAAACCTGACCTGCCAGGGCCCTAAACCAGCACCACAAGAGGGCATGTTACAGACCAAGCTGCCCCTGTACCCCGTGCGTAGGCACATGCTTCTGGAGACCAACAATGGCTTCTAAATCCTCTGGAGTGGAAAAATCTTTGAAGACAAATGAAATTATCAAAAAGCCTTTCCTGGAAATAACTTTCAAGCATGACAAGTGTCTAGTGAACACAACCACAGGAGAGTTAGGACGACGTCGTCTGCTATTTCAGTAAGAGGCTTCAATTAGAAGCAGAAGATACAATTAGGCTCTGATTCAAGTTCAAATTTATCCAAGTCACTTCCTTCTAACCCTTAATTTAGTTACAGTTTTAACCTAGAAAGCAAACCCTAAAAATAGCTTTTTAAAAATATGCCCCTCACTGCCAGAAAACAATACCTTTCTTGGGAATTCTGGTAAAATATTGCAACTGTTACCCTGACCAGGCTGGGGAAAATACTCCCAACTTTTCAATACCAGTCAACCAAGAGAAGAGAGGCCAGATTTAACGCTGAGCAGGTGCCAGCAGGCCACACACGAGAATAAGAGGTTGAGTTTACATCCAGCATTTAACTCCCGGCTCAGAGACCTCTATCAAATGCAATGGTCTCAAAAAGAGCACACACACCCTTCAGTTACAAACTAGAGATATAAACCTTTATTTCACCAACTCTGTCATAATTTGCTTTTTAATAAGGGTTCGTCCTAAGGACACCTGGGACCATGAGGTGCTGAGTGTCTTGGGTCTGGCGCCAAGCGCTGGGGACGCAGGGCCAGCACCACGCTGGGTCTTTCAGGCAGCACTGACTGGATCAGTTTCTTCCAATCTTGTTTTCACTTAGAGCCACCTCCTTTTCTGGGGTCCTTAGTCCTCATTTTATGCCAAATTTTCACCAGAGGCTCCCTGTTCTTCCAAATGAGTTCATGACCATACGTAATGTACCATCTGGGAAAAAGAAAAACAAACCAGGTCTGACATTCAAACAGCGAAACACACAGCTGACAAGTGCCATCAAGTTATCGAGTTCCTGCTTAAACCTAATGCCATGTTGTTTTCGTCTCGCTTGTTGAATACAACTGGTTGCTTTATGTAGGTAGGGAAGAGCTTTACGCAGGTAAGTGCAGGGACTCCAAGTCTAGGTAGAGGTAATTTTCCCTGGTTGCCTATCGCACTGTGATGGCTCTCTTTTGTGCCCTCTGCCTTTACGAAGCAGCTCCATCTCCTATTAATTAGCTCATTAGAAAAAAAAATATGGCCTGTATGGAGCCTGGAGCAACGAGATGAGGACGCAAAGCACTGTGGGTTTAGAACTTGACTTATTCAAGCTCCAGAACTAGTAACCATCAGAACACCAAGGCCAGCATTCCAATGTGGTGTGACGTGGAGAATTCAGTGAGCTGTGCCGAGCAGCTGAGGAGGAGGGGGCCCCGCAAGGAGACGCACAGCACTACCAGGCAAGCACCTGACAATGCAGGTGAGGAGGGCAGGTGACCAAGGCCGGGGTGGTGAGGTGGCAGAGGCTTCCCCAGGAAAGGGGCCAAGTGGGAACGGTGGCCACCTAAAGCTTTTTTATTCCCGAAACCTTGTTTTTGTACTAGTTTTCCAAAACAGATTTCATGTTCCCTGAGGCGGAGACCAGATTTTGTTGATCTCTGCATCTCCCAGCCCCAGTTCCATTTAACTCTTGATTATCAGAATAGCTGTGTGATGCTTTATCAGCTTCGGAAAGTCTGTGGCATGTATTTTTTTTCCCTTTCATTTTAAAGGACTTGAATTATACCAGAACCTATGTTTACTGTAATTTTTGCTATAATGTACACTTAAAAGTAAGTAAATATAATTACAATTTTGATTTAAAAACAGAGGCACTATTAAAATTTAAAAAAGAAAAGAATCATAGTTAAGTTTACAGAAAGAATAGAAAATTTAAAAAAACTAATAAATTCTTTTTGGCTTCAAGTAAAATTTCTGTGGTGAATTTACAATGAGAGCAAAATCGTCACCCTCTGATTCAAGTGCAATTGTAAAACCCTTGAAAGAAATTAATTACACGTCAGGAACTCTTCATTAATAAGAGGGTTTCTGCCTGCTTATTTTTAACCTACTTATTTCAGAGAGAAAAACGCTAAAATCTCACAGGTACGCCGTTTCTGATTACACTCAGAAATCCTAATGTAATCAGTCATTTGGCTAAAAATAAAATTGGACAAATACTTGAAGGACATCTAGTTTCTGAGGCGTCCTTTTCAGCAGGCCTGAGCTCGGCACAGAGGCCCAGTTGGTGGACTCGGGCAAGCGTGGACTATCTTCCTCAAGCAGCTTCCTTATCTGTAAGTGGAGACCTCACAGACTAAGAAAATGAAATCAGCCTTTAGCACATAGGATTCTATGAATACCAATGTCCTTAGCTTAGGTGAATGTTCAGTGTTTCTGAGCTAGTGTTACTGTACTGGTACAACTGAGGCCTAGAGGATTCATCAGGTACACAAAGTCAAGGACATGTACAGGTAGGTTCTAATGGAATCTTCACCATCAACAAAACAGGGAGATTTAATGGGGAAAAAAAGATTTTTAGATATGGATTCCTCTAGTCAGTTAACAAAGAGGTTATAAAAGATGAATACTGGATAGGCTGAGATCTAGGAAATGAAGAAGTGACAGAAGAGAGACCCTCCCAGCCTTTCAGAAGCTGGACTTTAAAACGCTTCGATCCAGTTATTTTCAGGATGGAAGCAAAAGGTCACCTAATTATAGTTCAGAGAATAAAACCTGCTGGGAAAGATCCTTTATGCACACATGGAAGGATCCAGATAAATTTAGCATCCATGAAACAATTCTTCATCAGTTATTATGTTTCTCATATTGTAATATCAGGTCAGTTTCTACTATTTATAATGTGCTGCTTTAAAAGCTAGAACTCACATATGCTATTCTTTAATCATCACTGAAAATTATAAAAGGCATAATGGCATTTAGTTCTACCGCCTACTAGGCAAAACTGCTCCACTTAGAATAGATTTTTCTTTTTTTCCCATTTAAAATACCTTAACTTTTCCATTGTTGTGAAACAATGTAAAAATCAAAATCTAAGGACCAAAGGCAACATTTATAAGAAAAAGGGCAACATTTATGGAAAAATAAACAAAAAAAGACCCCCAAAGGGGGATCCAGTGGAGAGGGAACTCTGCTTAAGGCCTCTCCTGACCACTCAGGACGTGCTGGGCTAGAGCTCTTTCTGTGACCAAGTTGCTGCTCTGTTTTGGGCAGAAGCCCACTGTCTGAAGCACAAATGGAGCTCTGTGTAACAATGCTGGTTGTACTCAGCGTGGTGTGACCAGGGTGGGCAGGGCTTTACATCTCTGCTCTGCTAGGGAAGGGCTCTGTGACCGGCAGAAGATCACTTCTGAGCCCCATGCTCTAATCCGGGTGAAGTGGATTTAACAACAATATAATGCATGGTGCCCAGCTTTGTGCCACCACCTAAAAGATGCCTGTAAGGGGGAGCACTGATTTCTGGTCCCCGGATTCTCCTCCAGTCCTGCAGAGCCTGAGCACACTCACTCCCTGCAGGCAGCAAATGCTCAGGTAGCTACACAGGCCTGCACAGCACTGGGGAGATGGGGTTGGGGATCAATGGTCAGCAAGAGTGGATGGAAATCGCTCAGGGAGATGAGAGGAGGATAGCAGAAGAGGGGCAAAGGAGGACAAAAGCGCAGATGGGATGCGAAAACAATAAAACTGTACTATTTAACTTGGATTGCTATCAGAATAGCAGTTTCGTATTTAGGGGCTGGGCAAGACGACAGTCAGAAGCCGAGGTACAAGGTTCAGAGGAGCTCCAGTGACTTGAGGGGCAGCAGTGGTCCACCCACATCCCATCTCACATGTGACACTAGGGCAGGCCAGAGTTAACCATGCTGAGATGTCCCGTCACATCCCATAGTTAAAGTCTGCCGTGACCTCCTTTAGGGGTTAAGAGGACAATGCCTTGGAGTCCACTTCAGCAATCAAGTGGACTCAAACTTACATTCCAAAGAGAGCTCCCCCAAGATGTGCTGCATGATCGAAAAACCTCCATCCCAGGACCATGCCAGCAGTATCCATGGCAATGATGGCTTTGAGGGCCTGGAAGTCAGGAAGAGAGAACAGCCGTGTCAGCTGTGACTTGCCCAGCACTGATGTTAGCCCGTACCACCAGGGTTCCCGGAACACCACTGCGTGAGTACTCACATTCCCCGCCGTAAACGTGAACATGGGCAGGAAGATGATGGCCAGTCTCCCTTCTGGGATCTTGGTGCAGACAGCGGCCAGCACAGTCATGATCGCACCCGACTGCAAGTCAACACAGGGATGAGAACATGTGGATTCTGCGTGCAGGGCCACTTACCCATCAGAATGCTGCCTCAGAACGTGTATGTGCCACAAACGTCTAAGGATGCACAAAGCTGAAAATTTTTCAGTTACTGCTGTATCAAGTAAAGGGACCCCAAGTCTATCACCTAACAATCACTCAAGAAGAGACTTTATGGGGGAGCAAGATGTCTAATGGCCAGCATGTGTTTAAATGAACACCAGCGACAGTATTAAGTGCATCCCATCCATCATTTTATTTGGTGACTAAAATAAAGCTCTTCTCTAAGTTCCTAACAAACTTATCCCAACCAGAGCATGAAAGTGAACTAATCCATATTTTTTATCTTGAAAATTCATTTGATATTTGCATTCTACTTAATAACAAAACCAAACATTTTCCTTAAAGCCTCTGAGCAAATGGGACACTCGAGGAAGATGTGCCATGTCCCCCGCGGCCCTGTGTGCCCGTCCTCACAGTGCCTGCCAGAGACAAGCAGACATGCACATATCTGCGTGAGAGGAATTGCTCCATCATCTCTGTATTTCAGACTAAAAAGTTAATTCCCCTGATGGAGAAACAAACTAGTCTAGACTATCTTTAAGTAGCTACAATATTTAAGTAGCTACAATCACTATGAAGATAGTGAGGAGGGTTAAAAAAGCAAAAATAGCACTTTGAGGAATAAGGCGGATGTCAGAAGAAACTCTGAAGATTGCACTGGAGCGTAGAGAAGCCAAAGCACAAGGAAGAATTCAAGATACTAAAGAGCTGAACAG